CGTGTGCTCTTCCGATCTCCCCAAAACCCCAAAACCCCGTCTGACAATTCGGCTTAATAAATTTGATAAATTAAGTTAGAATCGTAATTTTAAAACATTAATAATAATTATAAAAGTCACTTGTTTATATTAGTAACTAGCAAAAAATGATAAAACTTCTCTGTTGGTACCAAAAACAGCTTTAAAGGAAACCCCTTTTCACAAAAATGGTCACTTCAGCAGCCCTCATTGGCTTGGGCGACGGCTTATGTTAAATGATTGAATAGAGTAAGACAGTATATCTATTAAAGCTAATCCCCATCTATAGAACTTTCAGTTGAAAAATCAAAGTTTGATGTATCGAGGAACCTTAGGCTGATTACGTATGGCTTCTTTATGAGTGGACCGATCATGCATTTCGTATATACAAAGATCCTGCCTAAAATAGGTCCTGGGTGCAGTTTAAAATCCGTCCTGATAAAAGTTATGTTCACATAGACTATTTTCACGATATTTGGCCTAAGTCTATTTTTCTTTTCAACTTCAATGATGTCAGGACATACTTTTGAGCACTCCATAAATCAAGTCAGCAAGAAGCTGTGGCCGACCTATTGCACTTCACTAAAGATCTGGCCTCTGATATCAGTTTTAAATTTTGCCTTTGTACCCCCGCATTTTTAAGTCTTCTTTGTAAATGTTTTCAGTGTATTTTGGAATGCCTATCTTTCCTATGTCACTTTTTCACAAAACTGTAAATGCCAGCAATAAAATGAGAAAAATAATGATGATAAGATCGAAAACGATAGTAGAAATTAAAACAGCAGAAATATTCTAGACATTGAAAATAAAATAGTAGCAATAAAAAGCATTCAGCCAGAACTAGAAGGATATGCAATGAATAATCATCAGCACATTGGATTTAGTTTATAGTAAAATCATCAGGCTTCATCCCCAATAGCAGACTAATGAGTGAATGATAATGATAACTCTGTAATGAATTGGAGATTCTATTAATCTATATAATGATACGTATCGTCTGTTTTTAGACAAGATATACAATAATCTATCGAGGAAATTCATTGAGTATACATAAATTTTTCAATGACTGCATATAAATCTAAGGAAACTATCCTTAACTAACTTATTTAAATTCGTAATGATTTATTCGCTATCTATAGATACCGTATTAGTAATTTACTCATATTTTACAAAAGTAACTGTATATAGCTTCAAGGGGTTTTGGGGTTTTGGGGTTTTGGGG